CATCTTGAAATTATTGAAAACCCATTGTGTTTGGCAGGATTTCGACATGCGCGCGCGGCGGCCGCGCGCATGTGCACTTCGTCTCATTTTTTGCAAGGGATGGTGGCCCTCGCAGGCGCGCAACCGTTGTTGGAGAAGTTCAAAGCACCTGAAGAAGTAGCACGCAAAGACCCTTTTGACAGAAATGTTTAAAAAGTGGTGTGTTTCCTATGAATCCGCAAGAGCGCGCGGAAGGACATTTTGACAATTTTTTCTTAAAAAACCATTGGGTTTTTGATGTTTTTATGTTAAAATCGTTACGAAACCTAAGGTTTTGGAAGGATTTCGTCTTGCGCGCACGAATGTCCACTTTACCTTATTTTTTGCAAGGGATTCTTGCAATTTGATCAAGTAAAAACAAGAATTTTCATTTTCTATTGTTTTTTGCAAGGGAAAACGAGCGTCAACAAAAAACCGGATCCGGAGCTCATCCACTTTTCTGAAGCTTTCGCGAAAAAATGATGAAAATGTAGCTGCGGCCTAGGCGCGGCGCAGAGGTCGCGCACCAGGGGTCCCAACAATAATAATTCTTTAGAAGGAATAATGTTCAACAACAACAACAACAACAACAACAACAACCACAACAACAACAACAACAACAACAACGACGACGACGACGACGACGACGACGACGACGACAACAACAACAACAACAACAACAACAACAACAACAACAAAACGCAAAGTGATGTCCCAGACTATTGTTTGACTATTTTTGAAGATTCCTCCTGTAGAGTGACCTGCCCGACGTAAGAGCAGATGCACCGACCCCGGGCCCAGGCTGGGCCTGGCCAGAGTCGATGTATGTGCACCGTTTTCTTCGCCCAGGGCTCGCTGGGGACCGGCTTCCCTCCAAAACGACCAAGGCCCCCCTGAAACCGCCCCAGGAGCCCTCCGAAGAGCCTCTCTCGGAAGCCCTCGAGAAGAGTTTCCGGAGGGCTTCGGACGGGTTGCGGTCGCTTCGGGGGGGGAGCAAAGCCCTTAGCGGACCCTGGATTTTCCCAAACCCTACAGCCTACATCTTCACTTGGAACAGATGGTGTTCAGTGAATTTGTGAAAATTGAAAATAAATGGTCCCAGTGCGACTCAACGTAGGAGTTGGAGCATCTAGGAAAGCAACATGCTATGCTATGCTATGCTGCGCTATGCTATGCTATGTTATGATATGTTGCGTTGTGCTATGCTATGCTATGCTATGATATGATATGCTGCGCTGTGCCATGATATGCTGTGTTATGCAATGTTGTGATATGTTATTGTATGTTATGATATGATATGATATGATATGACGCGCTATGATATGCTATGAACTGATATGATATGATATGATATGATATGATATGATATGATATGATATGATATGATATACTGCGCTATGCTATGATATGCTGCGCTATATTATGATATGACATGGTATGCTATCTATGTTATGCTAATGCTGCGCTGCGCTAAGCTAAGCTGAGTTAAGCTAAGCTAAACTAAACTAAGTTAGGCTAAGCTAAGCTAAGCTAATCTAAGCTAAGCTATGCTAAGCTGAGTTAAGCTAGGCTAAGCTAAGATGAGATAAGCAACGCTAAGCTAAGGGGACGTAACTGGGGGAACCGCGGGGCGGATCATGGGGGAACCGCCCAGGGCGGGTTCCACTGCCTGGCCCCTTTAAGCCAACAGGGTAAGAACCCTTCTAGGCAGAGCCTAGGTAGGGAAAAACGAACGCAACCAAACACTAACCAGCAATAGCTGTTCACCTGTTCCGGCCTCCGGGGCCCTCGTCGGGCCCTGCGGGCCGTCAGAACACGACCGAGGGTGAAAAGGCCACCCTGCGACAGGGCCAGGACTTCAGGGGGCCCCGCAACAAAAAACAAGACGCCATAAGAAAAGCAAACAGACAGAACAGCGAGCACCAAACTCGGGGGCAGCCTAGAAGGGGGCGCCCAAGAGGAGGTGGTGCAAATCATGACCGACGGCACGTTCGCGGCCCAGGGGGGTGGCTGGGGACGTAATGAAATAAGTAGAAGCGCGATGAAATCTGAGGAAATATCATGGCCCACGCCATGTTATCCACCCCCTCTAGTCATCACCCCCCTCTTTGCCGACCCCGACAAAAGCAGAATGAGCCTCTGCGGTCCAGTGCTGGAGGGGGTTGCGCCTGCTACCCGACGTCGCGAGGAGAGAGCGCAGCACCGCATCCCTCAAGCTGCGGCCTCTGCCTCGAGCCGGCTCGATCCGCGAGGGCCCCCCAGGGGACGCACAGGGACGTGCACGAATACCGTGTGTCCTCCTCAGGTCCTCGGAGGCGCGCGTCCGGCCCGAACATGTAGTATACCCATCTTGTAGTGCATCGCTTCCCGAGCGGTGTGGCCAGAAAGCGCCCGCCACGACGCACATACTAGAAGATTTCTCGGGGCGCGCGTCGCCCCTGTGGAGGGCGACGCACATGTAGTGATAAGTATGTTGGGGTGACGCCGACCCCAAGGAGCCCGAGACCGAGCGAAGACGCCAAGTGTGAGAAGATCACGGCGCCCAGATCTCGGGAAAAAAGAAGAGGAAGAGGAAGGCGAGACGAAGCCAGGCCGAGGATGAGATCGGGTGAGGATGCATCGAGAACCTGTGAGATCTGGCGGCTCGGGAGGATGTATCGGGCGTCGCGGCCTTCTCAGAGCGTTCCGGAACGCTCTGAGCGAGTTCCAGAACGTTCTGCAACGGATGTATCCTCGTCCTAGCTGGGCCCGAACGAGGGTCCAAATGTTTGAATGTTTCGGGCCCCTTCTCGGACATCCGGATGCCTCCGGACACATCCGTGGGCATCCGAAGACCTACAGGGAAACTGCGGGGACATCTGGATGACTCCTGGGAGGAGAGGGACGAGGCGAACGAAGAGGAGGAGGAGGAAGAGGAGGAGGAAGAGGAGACGAGGAGGAAGAGGAGGAGGAGGAAGAGGAGGAAGAGGAGGAGGATGGGATGGAGGAGAAGGAGGAGGAAGAGGGGGAGGAGGAGAGGAGCATTTAGCGCCAGCCGAGCGGCCTTCCGATGAACTGGCCCTGAGCGAGCGCACAGCGCAGCTGCAAGACATGTCGCAGCTGGGATGGAGGAAGGGAATATGCGAGAACTGTGCTGCACGACGGCGGATGTCGTCGCAAGGTACAGGAGGATCCAGCGCTGGAGAGGAGGAGGAGGAGGATCAAAATGTCGGGACTGTTGGGATTCTGTGTGTTGGGCATCTGGAAGACTCCAGGTTCCCCTGGGGGCCTCCAGCGGCCCGAGGATCCCCAGGGACCTGCGGAGGACTGTGGAAGTCTCTGGGGGGGGAGGAGGACGGCGCGCCGCTTGAGCACGTCGCGAGCGGCGAACATACCAAGGGTGCCCAGGGACACAATAGTCCTCCTCCTCCTCCTCCTCCTCCTCCTCCTCCTCCTCCTCCTCCTCCTCCTCCTCCTCCCCCTCCTCCTCCAAAGACGCACACGCAAACACAGGATTCAGCACCTGTTCCCACATGCTCTGGGATTTCGTCTTCCCCCCCCCCCCCACTTCCCGTAGCTTCCCAGCTCTCCCCGGGAGTCGACGATGCATGGTGCCTGTGTGTGTTTCCCCTCCTGAACACACACGCATCCGCGCCCCCTCGCGGCCTGGCTTCCCGGGCGCGACCCCGCGGGTGTGCCGTCGCACTGGTATGAGTTCCGCGTGGGGCATGCGCCCACAGAACGCCCGCCCCGCCTGCGCGGGGTCGCGGCCCCGGGGCCGGGCCCGCGAGGCCGCCGATGCGGCTGCAGTGTTGTTACCCCCGCGAGCATGATTGTTTTCGTCAACCTGTGGCCCAGGAGGAAGGAGGAGGAGGAGGAGGAGGAGGAGGAGGAGGAGGAGGAGGAGGGGGAGGAGGAGGAGGAGGAGGAGGAGGAGGAGGAGGAGGAGGAGGAGGAGGAGGGGCTCCAGCGGCGAGAGGCACGGTCGGCAGCTTCTGCTGCGCGTGTCGCGGCAGCGGCCCCGGCGACCAGCTGTGCCCTGCAAGCGGACGGCGCGTCGCTCCGCGCCGCTCCGCGGGGCAGGGGGCTGGGGAAGGGCTCGGAGCGCTGACGTTCGGGGAGCGGGATGTGGATAGCGTGTCGCGCCGAGGCGTGGTGGGCCAGCACCAGCGCCGCGACACGCTACGACGGAGTTCCTGGCCGCAAAGTGAACTGGATGCGAAAGGCTGGGAGGCATCCAGGAGGGGGGCATGGGGGGAGCCGCGATGAAGCAATGGCCTGCGCCTGCCACGAAACGCTGCGCGGGGCTTGCTCAGCGCGGCAGGGCACGCACAGCGGCAGGGTCATAGGCAAGGAATGCGGCATCACTAGCATCAGGAGCGGGCTCCCTCATATTTATCTCGACCAAAAAACAACATCGACGCGGTGTTAGCTCGCACGCGTGCCGTCTGCACCACGAGCCAATTGAACTGAGATCGCGAAGCAGATCCGCAATCCCAATGGAGATGGGTGAAGGCTGCTGCTGCACTATGCTGCACTAGGAGCGGGCTCCCTCGTATGCGGCATGTCCTCGCACCCAGGCGGCTGTTTCAGCATGGTCCTCCTCGGTGTGAATCCACACATCCAGGCAGATGCCCTAAGAGGTCTCGCTTCGCTTGCGCCAGTTCACGCGTGCCCGACAGCCTGTTGATGAACAACATGATGTACCCAGGCTTGTCATTGAGCGCGTGGGAATACGGAAAGCACCAATAGCCGGGAAGACGCTGACATGGATTAGAGATCCGTGAATCTGGCGCGTGGGCGCAAGATCCACGGATCGGGGAAAGTACCCCCAAAAATATGAAGCCAATGCCACCTGCTTGGCCATGGAAAGCGTCGACTTCGCACGGAAATGGGACCTGTCGCTGATCCACACGCCTTTATCCATGTCCTCACTTCCTCGGAATAACTCCAGATGGGAAGGAGAAGAGGCGCAGGAGGATAATTCAGCGCCAGTGAGGGGGAGGGGAAGGAGGAGGAGGAGGCGGATTCAGCGGCCCTTTCCAATGATTGGGCATCCCATGCTGGCGAGGAGCACGAGGAAAACGTCAACGATTAAGAGCGAGAGGCAGAACGGCAACACGAGGAGGAAGAGTGAACACTCTGCAGGTTTGTCCTGGAGATCCACGTCTCGATCCCCAGGAGAAGACAAAAAAACGAACACGCATGCATTCCAGCATCAGGTCGATGCCTGTGGTCGTGAACTCGGCCGCGTGCTGACGCTCTATCGTCAGGGAAAGGACAGCAGTTGCTAAGAAGTCAGGTCATCAATAGCTTGCTTGAGGATCGGGCGGTGTTGGCAGTCGACCGCTGCTGTGCGGAAAGTCAAACCACCAACTAGTCAATTTCAGAAAGATGGTTGGTGGGCTTCTCTTCGCCTAGCGTGCCGGACAGGTCACAACTTCGAGACGGGTCTGGACCCTCGATTCTTCCTCCTCCTCGACGGAGACAAAATTCCGGGCCGAAAAGGAGGCCCACGCTGCAGAGGGAGCAGCACTTCGACACACCGAAGACCATCGGACTGTGAACTAACATGAGAAAGCACGTTTATCCGATCCTGTGTGTTGCAGACATAACACGAAGAGGGCTGGGCACCTTCCGAACAGGGTCAGGGGAGAGAGTGGCAAGTGTAGCACTCCTATTGGATACCTGGGCAGGACGGACAGGACAGGACGCTGAAAATCGTCCCCGAGGACAGCCACAGAAGAGCTCGGCAGTTGCGCCGGAGCGCCGGCAGCTCGCTGGCCCCGCGGCGCCCGAAAAGCGAATACCGGAAAAGCAGAGGGGGAGGGGAAGGGGAGGAGCGATGCGATGCGATGCGATCACTGTTGCGGACAGCGTCCGGGCCTAGAGCAGAACAGGTGGGTGAGGCCATGGCCTCTAGGATCTGAGGTGTCTGGGTTCATGCAATGCGAGACATGTAAAAGTTTGGAGGAGAGGGGAAGGGGAGGAGGAAGGAGAGGGGAAGGGGGAGGAGGAGGAAGGAGAGGAAGGAGAGCGCCCGAAAAGCGAATACCAGAAAAGCAGAGGGGGAGGGGGAGGGGAGGAGGAAGGAGATGGAGGGGAAAAAATTGGATTGCGACGCTGGTGGTGCCGACGGCGCAGCCACTTCTTTTTTTTAACCGACGGCGCAGCCACTGACAGAATTTCTGCAGCTACCAAAAACCGTGCGCGGGCACCAAGGGAGCAAGCACTGTGCAAAAGACAGCTCGAGGTGTAGCAAAGCAGGAAGCGAGGGCGATCATGGTGTGACGCTGGCGAGGTGTCCCCCTAAGCCTCATGTGGCTCCCCTCGTGCTCAAGGACCACATCCCAGGAATGATGTCGAGCACCCAGAAAAGTGTCGAAACAGTGTCGAACGAGTGTCGCTTCCCAGGGCCCGACACGTGAAAATCCTCAAGTTTCGGTACTTTCTTGGTGCTCGAAATTGTCTTTCTGGTGATCAAGGCTAGAGTAGATTGGAACATCCTAACCTGAGCCAAGCGAGCAATGGGACCGCGCTCCTTGGTCAACATGTCCAGGGGGTGAAAAAAGGGATGTCACTGCATAAGGGAAACGAGTCCCGAGCGGAGCAGCACGCACCACGACCACGACGACGCCGACAACGACGACGCAGAAGACGAAAGGCGCGCAGACGATCCGCACCGACACCCTGCATGCTCGGTGCAAAGAATAGAAGAAGAATCAACGCCATAAACAGAAACTTCTGGCGCTCCGCGCGGATTGCTGAGATCTGCGCTGGACCCCCCTCCCTGGCGCGCCAGGGAGGGGGGCCCAGCCCGGATCCAAGCAATCCGCGCGGAACGCCAAAAGTTCATGCTTATGGCATTTTCTTCTCCGAAGCGAAGATTAAGTCGGGCCTGTCCCCCTACAGGGGGCTTTTCAAAACAAAACAAAAAAAAACCAAAAAGGTCAAAAAAATAGTCCCCAGACTATGTTTGAATTATTGTTTGATTATTTTTAGGGTATTGTATATTTTCGTCGAAAATCCCCCTGTAGGGGGACAGGCCCGACATAAAGCGAGGAGGCGAAAACCCAAGAGGACGCCGAGCCCCCCCCTCGCGCCGCTGCCGCCGCCGTGCCCGTGCGCCCCCCCTTGGGCGGGGCGCCTCAGCGTCCTGGTCGCCGAACATGGGGCCACGCCCGGCCGCAGCGCCAGCGCCGTCGGCGCCGCCGCCTGCCGCGCGCGCTCTGATCTGACGACGACGACGACGACGACGACGACGACGACGACGACGACGACGACGACGGCGACGGCGACGGCGACGGCGACGGCGACGACGACGACGGCGACCGATTACGACGACCGACCAACAACGACGGCAATGACGGACAACGACGACTGCACGGCGATGACGACGACGGGAAGGAGGAGGAGGAGGAGGCGGAGCGTCACACAAGGGAGCAGGATGAGGAGACTCGGGATATGTTATTCCTTTTTTCGGCCTCCAGCGGCATCGGGAAC